GAACGAACACAAACATATCATTATCAGTGTACAACTGCCAACCACCAGACCGATTCGAATTTGCAACCAAACATCTACTGAAATATTGATGTGTTGCCTAAATGACAAACGCTTCAAAACATCAAAGGAGTGTAACTGAAAGCAAATGAAAATTCATTTGACTATAAATGAATCAAGTTTGAATAATACAGTCAAATCCATTCAGAACTGTTATATAAATCAAATCATACACACTCAAAATCAAATACAATCACTCCCCAGGACATAACCAATCCAAAAACGAAATCAAATCACAATAATTACGAAGGAACAAAGACAAAAACATTAATAAACTCTGTCTCTAATAATCATTGAATCAGATTGAGGAATCTATTCAAGAACTGTGCTATTGCTGCGACTATAAACTGACCTTGCCTTTCACTCTTTGTTGCCGCTGACCATAAGCATGAATATAATTCGGTGAACCGATACAAGTATTGCAATATAGTCTGATTCTGACAGCAGTTGAGTTGATCATCAAGCATACGGATTCGGTTGAAAACAGGCGCGACCACGGGAAGGTACCGCTGCTCTATCAACTCCGCGCCCAGCGTCTTTTTTCTTCTTTGAATAGTCCATTATCTGAACTTTGCAATGTATAATTGAACAATACAAACAATGCAATGTATAGTGGCCTTTCACTTGAATTTTGGCATTTTACCTGGTAGAGTTCCCTTTATGCACCCGGAAACAAGTCGAGTGATTTTTTTCCTAACCATTTTTTTCAAAATATTTTTTTAATTTTTTTTCATTTCTACTTTTTCATTTTTTTTCAAATCTAACCATTTTTTCCTGAGCTACCTGCTCCTAAACATTTTCGCATTCAATAAGTTCGTAAATTAAAAAACACGGTAATTTAACGCGACGAACAAGAGCGCATCGAACTGTACATATAAGGATATCAACAAATAGAGAGCACCATTGCAAGATGGATTTGGCAAGTTGAAGATTTTAAAACATAAAGGTGACAATACCGCGCAGGATTATGAATAGGCCTAATTGCATCCGAAGTTTTTCAGAGGCCATTATAGAGAGGAAGGAAGTACCCATTTTCGATGATATAAAAACTTTTCCTGATAAAAATATGATACAAAGGGAAATGAATTCTATAAACATACCATATGGTACGACGATGATCGCGAACTACCCTCGTCGTAGTTCGTTCAGAAAATATATTTACAATTCTGGAATAATCATCAATAACATCTTCAACATCGGCTCACTTAATTTCTGTTGTAAAAAAAGTAAGGAACGAAAAACCGTAAACATAAAATTAATAATGAAATTAATAGTTATCTGAATAACCTTTGAGCAGAACTGTCACATGACATCGTTGATCTTCCACTTGATATATCGTCTGCCCGTAAGCGAAACATCTCCAACGATCGATTCTTCTTCATTCCTCATTCGCGAGAAGTTCCACCATTTAGTCGCATTCTCCTTGCCACGTGACCAATATATTTGCTTCGATTCTTCTTCAGTGCTTATTTGTGAGATGTTCTTCCATTTTTGTCGTTCCCTCCTTGTAACGATGGTCGCTTGCGATCCGCCAGAGCGGATCGCAAGCGTTAATACCTTAATAAAATCTTATTAGCATCTGAAATTAAAGGTGGGAGGGGGAAGTAGATTAATGAGTATACAAATAATGAAAAAACAGCCCTCGTAAAATGAAGCAAACAAAAAACAAACGGCGAGAAAATGACCTGATAAAAATAATATCAACACTAATATCTTTTTCTATACCAATATCAGTGAGAATATTTTCAGTATTACTAGTGAATAACGCTAACAACATCTGATCTCAGAAACTCACTCCTTTAATACAATGCAATCTTTTCACTGAAAATTTTTCGAACACATCAAAAATAATCGTATATCCACCGGTCTCACATATCCATCCATCCACATATCATACATCCATATCTACATATCGACCTCATCATATATCCATCCACCTGGAGACATTGTCATTTAATTGTACCGAGATTATATAATAGACTGATACAGTGATTTGGAAGCGAAATACGTAGATCATAATCTCAAATTTCTCATCCTTAAAACAGTCATTGATTTTCTCATATACTCAGGGCGCGGCGCCTCATAACAGTTCAAAATCAAGGAAACTCTCTTGCACATCAAATTTTCTGCGACGCCGATCACAAGTTTAGTTTTTATACTTTCAAACAAATGAACAATAAATGATCGGATATGATACGATCTTCCAGTGCTCAATAAGCCATCGTTTAACACCAACAGGGAATGGTTTCACAATGAAAAACCGTGGTTTTTCCATGGGAATTTCAGAACGAAATTCCCATGGGAAATCTCTTAACAGCAATGATAATTTGAGAGATTTTCATGCGAGACGCATGAATTGCGAGAATATTCGTGCGACATTCACAAGAGAATTTTTTTACTTTTCACAAGAATTAGCATGCATCAGGCATGTATTTCACAAAAGAATTACACTGTGAAATCGAGAGAAATTTCCTATTTTATCAACTGAATTCTGTTCGTTAGAATTCGTGCGATTTTGAGCTGTCAACGTCCTCGTGATTATAATCACTTTCAATCATTTCTCAGCAATCATAAGAAAAGACATTGTAACGGAAATGAATCACATAAAAACGTTAAAATAATGAACGAAAATGAAATCATGCAACAATAAATGTATTTATAATACTCACCGTAAAGGCCGAACTTCGGTCTCTGTGGCGGTTGAGTTCGTCCTCAATCGAAGCAAGAATGAATCCTGAAATTCCAAAACTTGAATTCTGAGAAAAATTCGATCAAAATTTCTTCAAAGCACATACAGCGAACAATGACCATTCATACATTTGTAAATTCATTCAGTCCATGTTCTCTCTCGTTTATGTTCTCATTCTATGCAGATTGCCGAAAAAAAAGGTTCTGAATCTAGGATCCCAATCCCATTTCAAAACCTATTTCAAAAACCACGAAGGGTTCAAAAACAGATGTTGACTTCGGACTTTTAATGTGCAACAGTAACATGCTTTCATCGAGTCCATGCTCATGCCAAACACTATCATCAAATTCACTCTCTTTCGTTTCAGTGAGTAACATAATATCCACAATCTGAACGTCATATATTCCACTCATCATGATTTAAAATTCACATCTTTGTATGTTGTTATTCATTCATTCAGAACCTCGAATGCTCCTCGCAAAAAATACGAATATTAAACGAACTATTCACTGAAACGCATTCAAATGAATAAATGAAAATGCTTGAATGAGTCAAAACAACAGATGTGCTATGCACAAAGCAGCTGCATACCAAACACATACACACACAAACAAACACATGAACGTTTGTGCAAAGAACCACAACCACAAAACGGTCATCTATGCATTAAAAGAATGTTAACCATCAAAAACATCTGAATGGCTGATGTCAAAGGGCAGAATCCGAATCTGCCCAATGTATTCTGAATGTTGTCAACGCTGCCAAAAAAAGTTTTTTGCATCAGAAGAGATTTGCTGCAACTTTGAAGAATTTTTACGTTTCAGATTCATGAGCATGAACGAATACATTACTACAGAAGAGTACGCGAAAAGACACACAAAAGCACGCTCAGAACTTATTCTAAACTTTAGATTATTCAAAATTGGCTTTCTGAAATTGAACTGAAAATTGAACCGAAATCCAAATTTCCTACCAACCAAATCGTCGAATACTAAAGCAATCATGACTACCTCTTCGTTCCTATTACAACAGTACAGAATTCTAAACTTAGTCATATGTTGAATAATGTATTTATATGGATAATTATTAACTTTTCCTTTCTACAGCTCACTTCACTATGAATCAAATTTTCATGAGCCATACATATCACTTCCTAGATAAACACCCCGCATGGACGAGTAAGATCCCCCTTCAAACGGATATACGCCTAACTGTTGACAGGTAAGTAAATACTTATAACTGAGTCAATATCAACAGTACTGATAAGCAAAGACTCAAGTCATGAAAGCGCAAAAAGTTTTCGATTGATGGACGTCTTGGAAATTATACTACAAAATCAACCGGTTCACTGCAAACAACGACTCAAAACACTCTTCAGTTCTTTCGTGATACCGTTTCAGGTGTTATTGGTGCGTGTTTATCATTTCGAATCACTATCAATCGCTCTTATCACTCCCCAACAAAAATTACATCCTTCTTTCCCTTTCTATAAAAAATAAAAATTTAAATTCAATTTCTGTGCTCAAAGTCACATGTCTGTTCATGTCCACCAAACCAAATTTAAACTCGTTCATGACCGATCAAAAATAAATGTTTTTTTGCTCGAAAGTGCAATAAAAATTTGAATTTCACGCTTGGAAAACGCCTCAGTATCATGTGAACTAGCTGATAAGCTGTCATATGCAATTCAACACGTTAATACGATCGCTTATCATTCCCATTAAAATTTCATTAACAAATCGTCTTTTCTTGGAAATTTATCACCGTCTAACACATAAAACAGTGTCAAATAATCATTGATGCCTTATTAATATGATTAAATGAATGTGAATAATCGTTGGTACCATATTAATATGAATAAATGAATCATTCACATACGTCACATACAGACATTATGTCTATGAACTGCCTCAAGTCTGCCTCATTATGGTGTCTGATCCAAGTTTTGAGATCCCTTCTCTAATTCAGCGCAGACGTGGAGTATTTACGTAAACCGCGATTATTGCTTCCATTCAGTTTTCGGTTAGTCCTTAATCAGGCAAGTGCAATGCAACAAACACAGTAGTATCTTTTTTCACCATCTCATTCTTATTATTATCGATATTGTTGTTATTATTATTCTCAACGCTATCATTACTCCTATAATTCAGTTGGCAATGATAGCAATATGAATGTTCAATGAACAAAATGCAGTGCACCAATCTATCGTCTTGCCAACTTGCGTGAATATTAAACAACAACAAATGAATTTTTCATCTACAAGCAATTCCCTTCCCTGCAAAATCCAAATACGCATCTCATCCCTCACTTTTCCCCTTTGCGTTTAATTGAGTCTCGAAAGTTCCCGTTCGAGACAATTAAAACCATCTTTTCACTTGTTTCGATTCGTTCAAGTCACTTTTAAGCCCAAATTTGTCCTCATTGCAGCCTAAATCAACCCTAACCAAACCTCCAAAGCGTCATCACCCATCAAATACCACCACTGATTCCTTGGAAGTTCATTTCACAAATTTATTATCTTCTGAATGAAAAAATCTCATACACTTGAAAACAGCCAGTGATAAATACTCGAGCCAGAGCAATTCCTCATGTCAATAACTACAAATCGCAATAATGCGCCGTTGATATCTTCAATTGATAATAGAACTGGTAACAACTGACAACGGGGCTGAAAATGGCTCAACGGTATCATTTCCACAATTTGTGAGGATCCGATGATATGAAAATTCAGGAATATTTTAAAAAATCAGCAGCTCTGAAC